TGATTTCCTTTAAGATTGACTGGTTTGACCTCCTAGCAGTCCAGGGGACTCTTAAGAGTCTTCTCCAGCACCACAGTTCAAAGGCATCAATTCTTCCCAGACATCATTACTTTTCCTTGAAACCAAGAGGCTTCAACAGCTAATGCTCCCTAGATCTATTCTAGGTTTGCCAGCAAATTTTCTTCCATCCAAGTTCCATCTTTCTTCACCAGCTCAGCTCCATTAATTGTCTTCTATGAGAAAGTCTTCCTGTGTGAAACTAAGCTACAGTCAGTCCTACTGTCAGCTTTTGCTTATTAGCTCACTAAAACAAAAGGTTTGGGTGCCTTGACTGCCTCAGTGCATCTGCGATGGAATCACACAGCGGCATGATCTCCTGTAGCCTGTCACATTCAGTATCACTAACTCACCACCGATTTCCCAGGTTCACTTCCCAGTGGATAGAGTTCCTTTTGCTTGGAGGTATTGGAGAGTTTCTGAAGGCCAGACTGATATATTCAGTTTGTGCCTGTGCTCTTTGCTGGGATTTGCAGAACAATCTCACCAGGCTTATCTGATGCTAAGAGTTTCTTGCAAATAAGTCCTTCCCCCAACATGGATTGCCATTTCCAACCCTGGAGATAAGGATGGGATAGGACAAAGATGGCACTCATTTTTTCTCCTACTGATATTTTAGGCATGGCAGCCACAACTGAGCGACGTGTCAAGTCAGGGCCTGGTACCATAGGAGGGCTGCCCAGAAATGAAACCACATTTGCTACGTTATTACAGCAGCAAGGCTACACTACTGGCTTAATAGGTAACGTGTTTTTCTCCATATGTGTGGATAATGTCAGGTTTCACGGTTTGACTTCAATTCAGATTTTAATTCCTTTCCCCAAGTTTTCCAGGTGAAGGAATAACATTTCAAGATGCAACATGTTATATTTCTTTGGACAGATTTTACCCTTCCTATTCAAAAGTATAAAATACATTGGTATGTGTATATGGTTATTAATTACATACCCTGGTCCTGACTTAAGATACTATTCCGTATTCTTGGGATCTGACAGCCATTGGACAGTGCTGTCTAGATACTAGATTCAATTAGGTATATGTATATATCAGGTTGATCAAGGCAAAGTAGTAAATATCTTATTGATCCCAAAGCAAAATGCATAATAAATCTACCTACTTAATTTAGGCACAATATTTTATAATTTTTTCTCTTCATTCCTAGCAGCAAGAATTCAATTATAACAGCATACAAGATAAACAAGTTACTACCCTTTCACAGTATCCAGATCTGCTGCGAGAAACAGCTCTCTTGCTGGTCTAATGTTAGGTTGGCTCTGCTTCCATATGTTCCATTTATAATTAGTGTACCTCATCCATCTGTTTTTTATGAAGTTTTTGTCATCTTGTCATATATGGATCTTAATTCTATTTTGGATAGTTTTTGTGTTAAGAAGATTAAAATGAAGACTACATTAGGATCAAGAGTTGAAAATATGGTTTCCCTTTATTAAATAGAAGTCAAATAACTCCCTTCTAAATGGACACAATGCTGGGCATATTCACCTAAGGGGAAAAAAATCCCATGGAACCAGTAAGATTTCTACCTGGATCTGAACTGACTTACACCAGGGCTGGAGAGCATGGATCCCTCTTGATATTGCTGAACTTCAGTTGTCAGCATCATTCAGAACAGGCTCTATTAGCTGTAGATGCTAAGAATGGCATTCCACAAACGTTCTCCGCTTCACTATATTATGTCTTCCCTTTTGAGCATGTGTCATTTCTAGTAAATGATTATAAAATTAATTATTAATCCTTTTACATAAATATTGAATCTATTTTTGCAAAGCTGTTTAAGAACCACTTTGGTGTTTATATTTTCAGGAAAATGGCACCTGGGTTTGAACTGTGAATCCCACAATGACCACTGCCACCATCCTTTACACAATGGCTTTGATTATTACTACGGTGATCCTTTCACTCTTGAGAATGACTGTCTGAGTTGGGAATCTTCTCAGTTTAGATTAAAAGATGGTCCAATTCACATTCAAATAGTTGCCCTTTTGTTGTTTACTCTTCTGACTGGAAAGATTATTGGTTTGGTTTCTTTGAAATGGAAAATAGTTTTCTTCATTATCTTGTGTGGCATTCTCTATATTATCTACAATATTGCCTATTATTTAATTCTGCAATCCTGGAGATGTCTGATATTCAGAAATCATGAAATCATTCAACAACCACTGAAGCTAGAGGATGCGGCTTTCAGGACAGTGAAGGAAGCCGTCTCATTTATTGAAAGGTAACTAATTAAATTATCCAACTTCAGTAGAATACTCCTATAATATTGAACATGTGCTTGTTTGATTGATTGATTGATTGATTGATTCAATTTGTATGGCCATCCATCTCAAACAAGTGACTATGGGCAGCAGACAATCATAAAATCAATTAAAAACTGAATTACAGTCACAACACTAAATACATACAGCAGCTGAGAAATATATCACAATCCAGAGGTGTTAACATAACCAGGAAATGGGGCCCTTCACAGACTCGGGGCCCCAGGGCTGGGCACATAACCAAGTCTTCAAGGCCTTATGAAAGACCAACAGTGTTGGGGCCATCCTAATCTCCGGAGGGAGGATATCCCAGACAGCGGGCACTATGACAGAAAAGGGATGTCTTCTGGTCTCCACTAGCCGACATTCCTTGGCTGACAGGATCTGGAGCACGCCCATCTGCCAGACCGGATCGGGCAGGTAGAAACAACTGGGAGAAGACGGTCCCTCAGATAACCCAGTCCCAAGCTATGAAGGGCTTTAAAAGTGACAACCAGCACTTTGAATTGCACCCGGAAACACAATGAAAAGCAATGCAGCTTACAAAGCAGCGGTGTTACATGTGCCAAATACCTGATGCCATTTGCTACCCACTGAGCTGCATTCTGCACCAGTTCAAGCTTCTGAGTGCTGTTCAAGGGCAGCCCAACGTACAGCACGTTGCAGTAATCCAGACAGGAAGTCTGGATGAGGGCAGTGAGCAGAGTCACTGTTGATGTTATTCTCTGTGTCCATGTGGAACAAAACTCAAAATGTGTCCAGTATTCAGCCCTAGAAACTGTAGACATCTTGCAACATGTACCCCGCCCCTTGTATTTCACCGCAGGACCACAAATAATAAAAATAACAATATTTATTTAATTATTTTTCAAATGTATATATGCCACCCATCTCACTATACAAGTGACTCTAGGCAACATATGTAAATTTGAAAAATAAATAAATAGTATTAGCCATCCATATTAACTAATCCATACTAGCCAATCTATCTAACATTGTCTAGGGCAATTATTTTTTTAAAACAAATGACACTGCTACTCAAGAACAACAATGGAACCAGTGGCTGTTCTGTTGTTTTTTATCCACTAACACATACAGGACATCTTATTTGATTTCTGGGCACATTTTTAACAGGGTTGGCTACAAAATAAGGTGCTTAAAATAGTTCCATGAATAACATTCATAACCACAAAAACTTTTCAAGCAGCAACATTCAACAAACTACCATAGTCTTTGCATTTTTAACATGTTCTTGAAAGCTTAACATTGATTAGACAGAGTATGTACTGTATATAGTACTCACTGCACCCAGACTAAAGTTCAATAAACCAATATTATCATCTATATCTTACCACCTGAAAACCTCAACTGCGTTAGCAGCCCTTGTGTAATGCGCACGATGCATGCATAAACATGCATTCTTTTACCCCTTGAGACAATTGCATTGAAAGGAAGGACAATACAGAACAAAACACAATGCAGCCTTGAATGCTAATTCCCCAATAGCAAAGGACCAAAAATTAAAAAGGCAGCACACTCATTATTACAGAGACAGCAGAAGGCCTTCTTTGTCAATGCTTATGCTTCAGATCAGCCATCCAGATCACTTCTAAGTGGAGATGCAGCATCCTAGCAGCCAGAACATTTCTCCAGAAGACATGCTTCTTCACTGCTGCTTTTCTTTTGGCCTCCATTTCTTCATCTCCCCATGCAGTTTCAGCCTACCGCAGTACAGCAGAACTAATCAAGGCAGCCTATAGCAGGCTATAGCAAGGAACTAGTCAAGGCAGCCTACAGCAGTACAGTGGAACTAGTCAAGGCCCTCCACTGGAGAAGAGCAAAAAGAGTCAAGGTGTCCACAACACATGTACAACACCTTTGCAACACCTGCAAAAAGGAGACAAGGTTTCTGGCACACAGTCACAGCCAGTTATCTTGACCCTTCACCTGCCATCCTGCAGATGTCCCTGGAACCAGTCCCTGTTGCTGTACTGCCTAGGCTGCAAACAATTCAAGGGAAGAAAAGAATAATGACCAGCAAACCCAGTGGCCAATCATCTCATTCAGTGTTGCTTGCAATGGCCCTCTTTGGTTTCAAGGACCAGATGAAATCAGTATGTTTTGTCTCAAGTTCAGATACAGCCTACAGAACATGAATGTTCTCTTGGTGTGCCTGTTTTGATACTGGAACATTCTAATTGGACCGTTTTGCATATTTCAGTAGTTACATATTTTACTATAGCCTTATTTGAAACTTCTGTTATCAATGGTGTGAAAATAGTGTGAAATTACCTTCGAAGATATAAAAGGACTTCAAATTACCACCTTATGCTAATATCATGTGGTTGTTTCCAGTCACTGAATGCAGTTTTGCTGAAATGTTAAGGATCTGAGTCTTTCACAGATATATTGCTGCATTTCAGCCAAAGGGATATTCAGCTAATATGACCAGGGATATTTATCTACACCTGTAGTAAGGATTAATTTGAATCTCAAATATGACTTTATCTTGCACTTTCCCTGGGCAAAAGTTATGGAAAACCTATAATCATATCCCTGCGCATGTAATCATAAATTAAGCATTGAACCAACATCAGCAACCAGAATAATTAATGCTTAGTCTAAGCTTTGCAAGCCCCAAATGCTTCAGGTATATTATGCATAACTCTGTATAACTCTGTAATTATGATTAGTCTTTTCTAAACAGTCCTCTCTACTGGATTTATATTGAAAGGACATGGCATAAATCTTCTTAAATATCTTTTAAGTTCATTCCAGGGGCTACGTTTTGAGCCCTCAGCCCAACAAAATATTATGCACACTGTTTTGATGGTAATGCTTGGAGTTGTACGTTCTGGTAATTGTACAATTACAATTTCATGACTAATAGATCAGTTTTTTAGCCTACTAGCTGATTATAAAATTTGAAATTAGTCCTGGTTTATTGAAAAGTCCCTATTGTAATCCCCTTTTTAAAACAGAATTTTAAAAATTCTGAGAGTGTGTAATCATGACCCGGAATAAGCACATTTCTGTATGCACTCTATTCTCTCCTTTTTTGGGGTTTCATATATGCTATTAATAAGACTAATGTAACTTTCAGTGGTGTCAGGGGGGCGGGGGGGGGGGATTCGAAAAGTCAAGATGGCCATTGTAACCATGCAATCATAGCCTACCACTTTAGGACACAGAAAGGCAACTCCCAATCTGAATGCTGTCCTGGACCACAAACACTGCAATGTCCAAATTACAAGTGATCCTGATAACTTTTCCTGCCAGCCACTTACTAGAAAGTAAACTTCACTGAACAGTGCAGGCCTTATTTTTGCCTGAACATGCTCAGAAGTGGGCTGTATATTCAGTGCTCAAATTAAAGATGGTTAACAAGAGCCCCGACTCCTCTTAACTACATTTTTAGAAGACTATGGGGGAACTGTTTTTGCTAAAATTGAAGTGCATGAGGGTGGGTTTAATTAGGCCTTCCTAATTTTTCTTGTACATCAAATATAAACAACTGGTGTGTTTACAGTAACATAGGCTGTGGTAGAAATTGTAACATATGGGCTTGATGTCATATAATAGTGTTCAAACTTTTCTGGTCATCTATTAATTCCACTTGGCTAAATGACATACCTTTAATGGGAAGAAAACCTTTAATTTATTTTATCTTTTTTTTTTCAGAAACAAAAAAAAGCCATTCCTCCTTTTTGTTTCATTCTTACATGTCCACATACCATGTTATAGCACCAAACTGTTCCGTGGAACAAGCCAGCATGGTGTATATGGAGACAATGTTGAAGAGATGGATTGGATGGTTGGTAAGTAATTAAAGTTGCTAATAACTTTCCTAGAGCCCTTTTCTTTTTATTGATCTTCAATATCTTCAATGTCTTCAATATCTTCAATAGTTTTTAGTTTTGTACCTTATCTGCAAATGACTGGGAACAAAATATATGAATCCCTCTTCTATACCTGTGTTTCTTTAAGAATTTCTGCCTGACAGAAAGCCCTTTGTATAATCTTCCATACATACTCATCCAGTTATTTCCTTTCAGGGTAAGAAAGACAAATATAGCTAAATCTAATTTTTGCAGAACAAAATGGCAGAAGAAACAGCAAGAAACATGTATATTTAGAAGGTGTCTACTGATATCAAACTGTATGTTGCATTAATCATACTTGAGAAAATGTAGCAGACCCAGCCAATTACCTTTCTATTTTCTCTAAATCACCATCAGCTGACTGTATGCCAAACCTTTGCACTGACTATTACAGGGGTAGATAAAGGAGAAAAGCTACTATCTGAAGAACAGGCAGAATTTGAAGAGCAGGATCAATTATAGAGCAGCCCAATGTCTGAGAAATGCCAGTATCCCCAGCGGTTCCTTCAATGTGGTATTTATTGATTTAAAGCTGCTTTAATTCAGTCCCAAGGCCTAAACTCTGGGAAAAATTGGGACATTTGTGAGATCAGCGACTGGTTACACTAATCACAATATTACCAATAAGAGTAAAATAAAGGAAATGTCAGCTTTTTATATGACCTTGAAAAGCGGAAAACAGAGGCATCTTTTGGTCCAACACTGTTTAACCTTTGTATTAGCTCCTTAGCTGAACAAATGAATGGTCAGCATCTCTATCACCTAAGACTGCAGACAAACACCTAGTATGTGGGTGATGTGGCAGTCTGCTGGTCCAGGTAGGATGAGATCTCAGGTAAACACTATTTGGGAAGTAATGGGAAAAAAAATGATGAGAGTTGTTCTTGCAGGGTGGGACATGCTGAAGCAATAGAACATATCTTCCACTCTCTCATTGCCCCACTTCTTCCTGATGTCTTCCTGGCATTACCAAGATGTCACACAACCTGTTTGTTTGTTTGTTTGATATCACCCAAAGACATACATGAAGCCAAATTTTGCATAGTGGTCTACAGCAGGGCTTCTCAATCTCAGCAACTTTAAGATGGGTGGACTTCAACTCCCAGAATTCCCCAGCCAGCCAAGCTG